ATCGCGCAGGACTTCAAGACCGACCTGCGCTTCCAGAGCTCTGCGGTTATGGCCCTGCAGGAAGCGAGCGAGGCCTACCTTGTGGGTCTGTTTGAGGACACCAACCTGTGCGCCATCCACGCCAAGCGTGTCACCATCATGCCCAAGGACATCCAGCTGGCCCGCCGCATCCGCGGGGAGAGGGCTTAAGTACATTTTCTACACAACGTAAACTAAAAAGGCTCTTTTAAGAGCCACCTCCATTGTCCACCTAAACTGCTGTACTACACTGGTTGGCAGGGTCCGTCCCCGTGTTCCTAATTTGAGCACCTTGTCTTTTCGTGAACATGATAAGCATCAATGACACAAGCAGTCTAAGATGCCTGGAAGCAAGACTTTCAGGATACCTTCCATCGGAATCTGCTTTCAACTAGAACTGGGACAGGTAGTAAGCCTAAACAAGCACTTGTTTCTTTCTTTATTGTGATGTTACAATGTACCACAGTTATAAATGTCAAGCTGTAACATTTTATTTAGCAATGTTTAACCTTTTAGACTTGTTATTTTGACTTGGCCTTCCAACTTTCTTATCTTATTTTGGCTAGTTTTGTTTTCAAAACAGATTTCTCCTTGTCTCTAGCTTCTAACTCAGATCCTCCTGCCCTAGGATTTACAGGCCTGTGCCTGGCTCAGTTTAGCATTTAGTTGAGGACACCATCGAAATCACTTTCCCGACTACTGGGATTACAAGCCAGTGCTACTACTTAGCCGAGTTTAATAGTGTTTTTTGAAGATGTAACATAAAGATTAAACTACCATTGGTCCTTGGTCTTAAAGAATTTAGTGGGGCGTGGCAGTTTACACATAATCCCAACACCTGGGAGACAGGCAGGCAGATCTGAGTTAATCAACCTATTGTTGCAAGTTACATAAACTCCTGACCTTAAAAAAAAAAATCTATAAAAAGACTCAAAAGGAAGATCAAGAACCATTTTTTAGACTTTAACAAGGAAAAAAACAGATAGCAAGAAAGCTTGTAAATCTTGACTGATATCAAACGAGGAAGAAATTTGATACTAGGAAGGAAATAGCCATGCCCTTTTAATTAGTGTCCCAGAAAGCAGATTCGGCCACTGGCGTTGACAAGCAGCTATAAGTGAGTGGAGGGAATTCAAAAAAAACAGAATCCCGAAGTATCAGACTCAAGCAGGTTTGGGAGTATAATCTGTGGCCAATAATGGGGGGGGGGGGGAGAAACATGGTCGTACATGAGTTTTATCCACTCATCCACCCCTCTGAGATACCCCCAGCCCACCAACCACATCCTTGGCAAGCAGAGGAACAGGAATAGTCTAGATAGAAAGTTCAAGTTCAGGTCAAGCCAGGACTGCACAGTGTGACTCTGTCTTGAGGGAGGGGAAAAAGAAAGAAAAGTAGAGAAGAAAGGGGAAAGATGAAAAATTATCCTTTTTGAGTTAGAGTTTAGTAAATAAATACAACAGTAACTCCTGCAGCATGTAAGTATATTATCCGATTAAGGCGATAATTATTTTTTCCCAGGTCTTTAACACATCTTCAGGATAATGAGCTTTTTGGGGGGTGGGGAGGAAGAAAGGGGCTGAAGGAGTCTCCTAGCAGGGTGATGAATAAGAAATGTTCCAAACTTTAGGCAAAATTAGAATGCCATTTTCTACCCAAGGCCAGAGTTAGAACACAATTTCATTCCTCTGGCAAAGAGGAAGTAGATTTCTCCCAATGAGATTTAAAGAAACCCTGATACCTCCCTCCTTTTTTTTTTTTTTTTTCTTATAGTAAGTGGAAGGGAGGACTCAGAAACTGACCCTATCGAGGATAATGCCAGACTTCAAGTTCTTCTAAATCTAATGCCAATCTAGACATCCAATAAAAATAATAGTTGATGTTCAAATGCTTTTAGAATGAATCATGAAATAATTCAGTTAAGATTTCAGGTGAATCTTGTAATATATATATACACCTCTTAAAACCCCAAACAACTCATAACATAAAGACATTTTAAAGTATCTGTTATACTACCCAATTCAGTTACTTTTATTGATAATACTTTATTCTTTATTTCCAACATGTAATAATGTAAAAACGTATCTTTAAAAGTTCAAGCTTTTGGCTAGAGAGATGGCTCAGGGGTTAAGAGCACTGACTGCTATTACGGAGGTCAAGTTCAATTCCTTGCAACTACATAGTGGCTTACAGCCATCTGTAGTGGGATCCAATGCCCTCTTCTGGTGTGTCTGAAGACAGCTACAGTGTACTCATATGGAAGAAGTAAATAAATCTTTTAAAAAAAAAAAAAGTTCAGGCATTCACTCTGCAAGTTGAGATTCTCATTTGAAAAAAAAAAAAAAGCCTGACATGGTAAGTACTTCCAATATCAAATATTTTCTCCCACATTGAAATTTATGAAAAGTAATAACTATACCTAGGCTGTCCATCAGCACATACACACAGGTAGTACATGCACTCTGATACTTTATCTAAAAGATGACAATCTATGTGACATAGAGTTAGAGATACAGAATGTTGTATAGTCATTTCAGGATTACAAGTATAAGTTTTCTTTTAAAACCCCAAAATGAAAGTCTCAGAAGATATGCAAGGTAAAAGATGCCTGTAATCCCAAAACTTGGGAAATTGAGTAAAAAGGACCAGAAATGGAAGATTATCCTTGGCTATATATCAAGTTTGAGTCTATTGAGAGATAAGTGAAAAGATCTGTCTCAAAATTGAAAATGAGGCCTTTAACCCCATGACTGGTAAACAAAGGCAGGTGGGTCTCTAGTAGTTAAAACCAACTCTATGTCTGGAGTTACATATATATTCATCCTAGGATACATATTGAGATTGACCCTGGCTCAAAGTAAAATAATTTTAAACTTCAAAATATTATAATGAGCTAAGTCTCTGAAACAGTTTCAGCAATAAAAGTTACCTTCAACACCCTGCTTTCTCCACCTCCTCCCAAAGCAAGGTTTAAAAACTAGAATATCCCTTCGGCAATGTAAGAAAACCAGACCTAACTATTTCCCCAAAGCAACAACTACTAAAACTTTCATCTTCAACAACCTCTTCAAGTCTTGCAGCTAGCAATAACAAATAATAATCATAATGATGGTGATTATGATTTTTAAAATTCTACAAAACTCCCTTGTCCAAAAGTGGATCAAAATGAAACATTCCCACTTAAAGAGTTGTGTTCATACCAAGGACAAAGGATGTAACACACAGGCATAGAAGAATTGGGAACAGATCTGGCTACATTTCTTCACACAGAATACCAGAAGTAAATTATATGCATTTCCTATCATCTAAATTCTACACAGTGGTACATGTTTTAACAAGCTCTGTCTCGCACTTGCAGAAAATTAAAACAGCATTGCTTTCTTGTTTCTTTTTACTTTTTTCTAGAAATTGACTCTTGAACCTGTGTTTGTAATGTCACAATGATGTGAAAAGACAGCAAGATAGACAGCATTCTAGAGATTTGTCCTCCACCATACCTTTACCCAGCTGGTTGGTTGTACAGGGTAGGGAAATTAAGACAGCAGTCAGTCTTTCCAAGATTAGTGTTGCCCCTCTGATCAGATATCAAGTCTTTTTTCTGATATTTATGATGTCGGTGCTTTTCTCCTTATTAACTCAGGATTCAAAAATACCAAAGGCCTGAAGCATTCCACCTGAGCCAGTCATGTGATAACACCTAGAATGTAGGTAACTAAACAAATAAATAATGAGCAGTGTATGTATGGATATTCCTTCCTACAGAGTGAAGTTTAAATGTGGTCTTAGAATATAAGAATATTCAGTTCCCCTATAATTATGACACTGTCAGTGTTTTATTACTGAAGAATAAAATGTTTAAATTACCCATGGTTGGAGTCCAAAAGCTCCTTTGCTATGTAAAACTACAAAATGCTTCATTTGTTAACATATCTTTTGTTATTATAGTCTTTTACATGACATTGACCCTCCGTGGTGGATAAGCAAAGAGATAATCCAAAAATAGCCAACAGCTTCATCTCACAGAAATATCAAAAATGCAAGAAAATTCAAAAATACCATTTTGTTATTTTCCTACATTTTCTAATCTGTCCACACATTGCAATATTGACATTTCACATATTGATCTTTTTACATTTTGTAGACACCCCAAATTTGAAGTGGCATGATTCAGCAGGTAAGGGAGATGGTAAGAAATCAGACCATAGAGTTCAATGTCACAAAAATACCGTTTTGTTCATGAACGTGTGTGTGTGTGTGTGTGTGTGTGTGTGTGTGTGTGTGGTGTGTGTGTATCCGATCGATATTAGATAATATTCTAATTCAGTTTATGGGATTTCGTAAATTCAAGCAAATATATTGACAGAATAGAGGGAAACAAGAAAGATGAGTCTGCATCTGCTTGGGATAAAATAGCATTAACATGGCAATGGGCATTTAAACCAGGTCTTGTCCAACTCGGGGGCCTGCTCGCCATCCCAAAACTTCCATTTTGTTGTGAAGTCAATGGGAATGGCTGTGGTAAAGCTAAACATACATTCTTAAGGCAATGAGCTTTAAGGACATGTAGGATGAGAAAAGCAGTGACTATGACCATATGACATATGACCTGTGTATTTATTGGGCATTCTTTAGCACCATGAGATAATCAACTACAGCAGCAGATAGAAGGAACATAACAGGAACATCATTTGGAGACACAATAACTGCAGAGTATTCTACAAGCATCTTATTACACATATACGTCTGATGTCATAGGCATTTCAAAATGTAGTAGGAAGCTGCCTGTCCTTTACATTATTTATTTAAATTACATGAAAATCAAATTGAGTGCCTATCATATAGCATTACCTTATCTGGAGTGGGTGTGAAGGAAGGGGTGAATTACACAAGCACTGGCCTGTGGAAGTCAAAAACTATCTTTTAGGAGCCTGTGTTCTCCCATCATATGTGTCCCTGGAATCAACTCAGGTCTTCAGTCTAGGCTATTAGATCCTTTTTTACCCTCTATCCTCTGAAGAAAATGCTAGATTGAAACGTAGACTTATGAGGATACAGATGTAATAGCTTATAACAGGTGCTTGCCTCCAGACCTGCAACACACATAGAAGAGAGCTGATTGTTGCAGGTTGTCCTCTGACCTACACACACACACACAAACACACACACACACACACACTATATATATATATATATATCTGTGTATATATATATATATCTGTGTATATATATACACACACTATATATATAAAACTATATATAAAATTTTATATATAAAAATTTTTTTTAAAAATATATATAATATATATTATATATTATATATAATTTTTAAAGTGATAGGTAATTTCTTCCTACCAGCTCAATTAAACATCTGCAGATTTCTTACATCAGGATGAAAGGAAAATGAGCCCTCACTCAAAAGAATCTATATATATCACAAACTTTAATACTTTCAATAATGAAATAGAAATGCATCCACCAAGTTTGGATCAGCTTCCTGAAGTGTATTTTGATTGATTGGCTTGGTTTGTTTGTTGTTTGCCCAAATTTAGGAAGTCAAGCTGCAAAGCAAACCTTCCAAAAATGGTTTTTCTTTCACGTTCTCACCCTAGTAGTACTGGTCTACTGACCAAATAAGGGAGAACAGATAGGCTCAGAAAAATGTATGAGGAAGAAATGTGCAGAACTGTCAATGGTGTTCGATTTCTTTACTAAAACTTAAGCACCAGGATTTTAGAAAAGCTTCCACACTTAGTGACAATGGTATCACCCCTAAACGAGGGTGGCTATTTGGGAAATCGGAGCTCTTGTAATTTCTCGACAAACACAAAAATTACAAAATTAAAGACAGGCTGACTAAAGGACATAATTCCAGAGCTCTGAAGTGAGCAAAGGGGCGGGGACACAAAAATGCCAGCGTTCCAGTTAATATCACAGTCTCTGATTGGTGCTACGTTTCGCACCCGTGAGTGAAAGGACGGCTTGATTGGCTAATTCTCAAAACCACGGTCTGTAGACCGATTGGAAAAGTTAAAAAAAACTCAGGCTTCAATCTGTAGCCACTATTGTCGGGTTGGCTTGCTAGAGACCCCTGTGCACCACGCCTAGGTGCCAGAAACGAGGACTTGCCAATAAGCTCAGCACATAATACCTACGTAGAGAGAGCAGAGAAGCGTCAGCCAGTAGCTGGAAAAAAAAAAAAACCTTAAAACTACGCAACCTACTAATTTACGACTTACAGAAGCTCCAGAATCATTTACCCACGCCACCCACAGAAAAAAAAAAAAAAATTAACTATGCTCCAGACCATAGCCGGCATCAGCTGACACAGCGTAAGGAAACCAGAAAAAGCTCAGCTCAGCCCAGCTCTTTTGAATGATATCTGTGGGTGGCTCTGAAAAGAGCCGTTTGAGATTTTCAAAGCAGGACGCGCCACTCTACTTCTTGCGAGGGGCAGCCTTCTTTGCCTTGGTGGCCTTGGGCTTAGACGCCTTAGGCTTGGCAGCCTTAGCTTTGGGAGCCTTGGCCTTGGCTGGACTCTTGGCTGCCTTCTTGGGCTTAGCAGACTTCACCTTCTTCGGGCTCTTGGAAACTTTCTTGGCACCGGCAGCCGCAGCGGGCTTCTTCGCCTTCTTCGGGGTCTTCTTGGCCGCTTTTTTGGGTGTGGCGGCACCGGTCGCCTTCTTGGGCTTCTTGGCTGCGCTCGCAGGCTTCTTAGCCTTGGCCGCGCCTGCCTTCTTGGTCTTGGGTTTGGCCTCGCCGGAAGCCGCTTTCTTGTTGAGTTTGAAGGAGCCGGAGGCGCCGGTGCCCTTGGTCTGCACCAGGATACCCTTGCTCACCAGGCTCTTCAGACCGAGCTTGATGCGGCTGTTGTTCTTCTCCACATCGTATCCCACGGCCGCCAGCGCCTTCTTGAGCGCAGCCAGGGACACGCCGTTGCGTTCCTTGGAGGCGGCCACAGCCTTGGTGATCAGCTCGGACACCGGGGGTCCGGACGCCTTGCGCTTCCCAGCAGCGGCGCCGGTTTTCTTCGCCTTCTTCTTCACAGGTGTCTTCTCCACAGGTGCAGGAGCAGCAGGCGCAGCCGGAGCGGTCTCAGACATGTTTTAGGCTTTACTAGTAAAGCGAAAAGTAAGCACAGTCAGAGAGGGTTGTTCCCAGTGCTGCAGCCTCTGGGTTTATATAGAGAGAAGCTGCGTGGTGATTGGTTCCCTGCGCTGTGCGCCGTGCGCCGCGCTGCCAGAGAAAGGATCTTCAGCTTTGGCTTGTAGCTGTGTTTGTTGCCCCTCAAAAAAGAATAAAAATATAAGAAATATGGGCACGAAGTAATTAGGGACTTGGGGGAAACTGATCCGAGAGCCTGTGGGCTACATTCTTGCCTTAATTTGTACAGCTATGTCGAAAATCGGTACCATGAAACTTCTCTGATTGCCCCAACTCTCTTTCAAACTTGACGAAAATTGGGACAACTTTAAGGTTTTCCTTAAAAATACTATTTCTCTCGCAGTCATTAGCAAACTTTTGTTTCAGGACATGGTACTGCACATTCTTATCCTTTCAAGACTCTATGGAATAACTTGTTTTCACGGAAATATGTAGGGAAATTTGCGTTTTTCGCGAAAGCAACAGCACAAGCTCCCAGGGCTATCTGAACCAAGCTGTAGGAATTGGCAGTAGATGGGAAAGTAGTGCGTGCCGGTAGAATGATTATTGTAGAAAAGGTCGATTGATTTTTTAAGGTATTTGAGATACCAGTGTGTAATTCCCGTTCGGTTTTCATGTTTTAGTGATTTAGCCATTTTCTAGAGAAGGAATCAGTCTGTGCCATCCCCCTTATAGATCAACAGCTCAAAGCACGTTTTTTTCAGATTCAGTAGAGAAGTGTAGACCAACTCCCACATTTACAGAAAAAAACAAGATACCTAGGTCAAGAAGGAACAGAAGTTTAGCAACTGGGAGATGAAGAATACTGAGATATAACCTGACTGATTCCGTGTTTAGAGTACACTGTTATACAGCTGTGTTACACAGTGTGTTTCAGGACATTGTTATGCAGCTGTTTCCACTGGCCAACATTTATCATAGCATTTTCTGCATATTTCCTGTTTTAAAATAATTTTAATTTCAATATTAAAAATAAGCCGAATTTGAAAGAAAATCTTTTTTTATTTCCATAATAGCTGCTGACATTAATATATATATATATTACATATATAATACAGCCTGTCATGAGCAAAAGAATTCACAGGTTGTAACCACTGATGTACTTAAACTTTTCAGAGTCAGCTTATCATTATGGTAACTGCTGCAAGAATAAGGTTTCTGAAAAAGCGATAAACCGTGGGCCTACAAACTTGAAACCGTAAGAAGCGTCACTCATTTCCACTCATTACGTTGAAGGCTAACTTCACAAGAGTGGTTTGGGTCTTGACTCCAAAATATAATTACATCCTGAAAAACAGCAAACTATTCTCTGTAGTCAGGCTTACACTATTTTTGTAGAAATTAAAAACAGGTGATAAAAATCCCTAAGATATATGAGAACAATGAAACTTATGGCTGCGTCACCTTCTCTCAATTTTGTGTTAGGTAAGCACACACGTACACACAGACACAAATGTACACACACAAATGCACACATTACCATAGTAACAGCTGAGAGACGAGAGTCTCATAAGTTGTTCTATAGGACACATTCTTGAGTATTCTACTACCTAGAGACTTTCAAATCTACAGGAAGAGGTGGTTGTGTAAAATTTAAATCAACCTGGATGTGGTGGTCCATGCCTTTAATCCGAGTACCTGGGAGGCAGAAGCAGGGGATCTCTGAAATTAAGGCCAGTCTACAGAGCAAGTTCCAGGTGAGCTATGGCTACATGAAGAAGAAGCCAAACCCTGTTTCACATGGAAAATAATAGTACTAACAAGATAAGTAGCAAGAAAAGAAATATAGATGGGGAAGAAGACAACTTTAGTAGAAAATAGTAAGTAGTAAGAAAACAATAATAATAGAAGGGGTAGAAGACAAATTTAAGACAAATCTGTTCAAAATGTGTATGAAAAATTAAGAGTTCTCAATTTTATATCCGTTTCTGTTGACATTACGTGAAGATACTGGCACCTTGAAACTCACATTCGAGCACAAACAGTATGTATTAATTTCATTTTCTAAAATGGGCATTTCTAAATATTTACCCCCCCCCCCACTTTCTCTCACCCCTCTATAACATCTTTTAATTGTGTGTGGAAGCTAAATAGCATCATGCATACTTGAGGAATATTCTAAGTCCTCCCTGTTTTTAAAAAGGCCTGTTCTCCAGTCTGCAGTACATACCCATCCACAATCTAGATAACTGAAACCATGTTTAACAGGTTTCAGGGAAAGGTCAATGTAACTGGGATATATGGCTGCTTCACTGGGATACTAGACAGCAGTTAGGAATATTCCGAGGTGATGTCATGTCACACCCCTCAGCCTGAATTTAGTTTCGTCTAAAGTGGCCCTTGAGTTCCTTATGTCGGGGAGAGGAATCCACTGTGCTATTTAAGCCCACTGTTCTCACACTAGTTTTGGCATTCTGCTATTTATAGAGTGAATGGGGGTGAAAACTGGTGATTTTCTGGAAAGAAGCATAGGAAAGTTCTGTGGGTTAATTGGGACAAGCTAAAAACCAAGCACATCTTAAGTACTTGGAAGTTACTTTTAATTTTTTACTCTGCCATTACCATAGAAAGGTCTCACACAAGCACTAGCCAAAGCACATCTTCAAGATGACCTCTCTCTAAGACAAGGATGGAGCTCAAACAGAAGCTAAAAAGAAAACAGCGGCTAGCAAGGCCATGAGACAGAGACTCCTCCCCAACATCAATAGCATTTATTTAAAAGATTAGATCTTCAACCCTGAGCAAGTCTCCATCTTTCCAGTTCAAACAGCATCCTGTAAGATGGGAAACAGTATAAATTCAATCAACACTAGCGCCCTTTGTAGAGATTGGAAAACAGACCTGTGTGCATGCCTCTGAGAAATCCAAAGAGCTTCATAAGTGAGATTTAATAATGCTTGCAAAATTTTAGACTTTACATTTTTGTAAATCTTCCGCTTAAAAAAAAACAATCTTACTGTACTGTATCCATTTTGTAGATAAGTGTATGGCTACAACCTCCTTTTTACAGATGATGAGTGGCTTGGAGAGTTATAAATTATCTGCTGTCAGAACCTACAAGTACGTTCCTGAAGGACACAAACTAGTGACTAAGAAACCCAAGAGAAAAGCGGAAAACTCATATTCCCCTCTCAACAGGGACTGTGCCTTCCGCCAGGCAATAGGAGTCAGCCAGTAACATAGAGGGGCGGATACAGAAGCACCTTCCCGCCCGCGCCTTTTCAGTCCTCTAAAAGGTCCGCAATCTTCATATATAAAACAGCAGTAGAGGGCGCTTGAGGAATTCCAGCTCTTACTGTTCGTAACTATGTCTGGTCGGGGTAAAGGCGGGAAGGGTCTCGGTAAAGGCGGCGCCAAGCGCCACCGCAAAGTCCTTCGCGATAACATCCAGGGCATCACCAAGCCCGCCATCCGCCGCCTGGCCCGGCGCGGAGGAGTGAAGCGCATCTCCGGCCTCATCTACGAGGAGACCCGCGGTGTGCTGAAGGTGTTCCTGGAGAACGTCATCCGCGACGCCGTCACCTACACGGAGCACGCCAAGCGCAAGACCGTCACCGCCATGGACGTGGTCTACGCGCTCAAGCGCCAGGGCCGCACCCTCTACGGCTTCGGCGGCTGAGCTGAATAGGTTCAGAACTTTGTATAAAAAGGCCCTTTTTAGGGCCACCCACTTTATCATAAAAAGCTGTTTGCATTTCTCGACCCTAGTAAGAATTACTGTGCCTAAAGCCCAAATTGACAGCAGAGACAATTAAATGGCTGTGGAAGTGCTTTCCTAGCACTTTGTAGTAATTAGTCTTTACACAGCAAACTCAGGCAACTTTTATCTCCCAATGCTTCGGAGGCTTACTCCCTTAAAAGTGTAAAAGTAGGCAAAGGTTCCTTTGGAGAGCAGAACAAATTTACATTTAAGGCTAAAGAGCTGTTGTTTTGCTAACCTGTGTGTCCTTTCCCCTGTATCCTTGACGATAGCCTTTTCATTTCTGGGCTAAAGGTCAAGGCGGCCAGCTCTTCCTGACAAGGTTACTCCAGAGTGAAAATTTACATGAGTTAACAGACTGGTTCATAATTTCCAAGTTCCCTTATTACTTACCAACTTAGCCTTGTTAACCCTACTGTGAGCCAGGCTTTCCATATTGAGATAGATTCAACTACTAAATGACTTCTTTGCTTCCAATCCAAATTTACAGCTGCTGCTACACATGAGTTCTCAATAAACCACTCCAGCAGTCAAATTGATGGGTCCAAAAACACACTAGTAACCCTATTTGCTACTCCTAACTTAGCAATGTCAAGTTTGCTCGCTTACTGACACATTCCAGTTTTTCTCCTTCTGTTTGCTTTCTGGGTTTTTTTCCCCCACTCCAAACCTCAGATTTATTATCATACAGCTTTGAAAGTTTGAATCTAAAATGTGTCACTTTTACTAACTTCCAAGTGTCAACAGGACTGTGGGCTTCTGGAAGCTTGAAAAGAGTCAGTTTCCTGCCTTCACAGCATCCAGGAGAAGCTGCTCTCTGTAGCCTTGCCCCTCCCTCCAGCGTCTAGGAGAGCTACAAGGCATCTTCAAGACTACCTGACAGTTCTGTTTTCTTTTTTCCATGGCCCAGATGACTCAGGACCATCCCATCTCAACTTCCGTTAGCCATTCGTAGGTGTTGGGAGATTCTGGTTCCTTCTCAAATTATTTTAATGATGAGTTATCTCTTTTCCCCTGCAGTTTTTTTTAAGCAATTTAGTTTTTTTTTTCATCTTTTTGTACAAAAGTAAAATAAAACCCAAATTCCTGTGCTTTATCTGACATCTGTCTTGCCTCCACCACCTCATCCCTAACCATGAATTATACTCCTAACTAGACTGAACAACACATTTTTCTTCCAAATGAAATTTCCATCCGTACATGTGTGGTTTGTCTACTCTCATAAGAATGTAAAGTCTTTTCAACCTTCACCTTTCTACCTGAACCAAGTGCTGCCAGTGCCAATTATAAAACCTAACACACAGTAAGTACTCAGGACAAAGAAAACTAAAATCATAAAGACAAAATTGCCTTCCCTCTAAATATCTGTGGCCTGCAATATAACAATTAGGTTTTGATCAAACCTTAGCTTTGGGGAAAAAATACTTTTTAAAATCCTTTTAGCCTAGTAGAGTTTAAACATAATCTGTGAACAATTCGCCACCTAATCAGACTTACTAGAAAGAGCTTTCTTTCAGAAAATCTCAACTTCAGTTCTAAGCAACAAGCTGACCCCAAACAAATCCCTTGCTTCTCTGATTGAAGCTTTTGTCTGAGTCCACATTCTAGACATAACATGCACTGTTATGTTTGATACATCAATATTATTATTTATAAATTCTGTACAGTGTGGTAAAACTCAGTCTCTTCCCCATGAGCCTGGACAAGGGCACAGTACAAGAAGAAAATCTGAAAGTATTAGGTACATTTAGTTTACTCTGGGTCTGATAAGGCAAACAGGACGGACAGGCAACAAGTAATGAGTGAAATGATGGTGGTCCCTGTCATCTATTCTGGGTGTTAGTATCTGAAGTGTCTGGTGTCTAAGTTTTTGAACTTAGTAACCAGCAGCTTTGACACTTCTGGGTCATTTCACACCTTACTAGGATGTATCTGGTGTAAAATTAAAGATACTGTTTGCTTTTAAGGTTTACTTAGTATAATGGCAAGTATTAGTTTACAATGGCACCTAACTCAAAAGCAAGTGGCAAAAAGGCTCTCATGCAAGGCTTGCAATTTGTTTTTGCTGCTGCTGCTGCTGCTTGCTGCTGCTGCTGTTGTTGTTGTTGTTTTTTTTAAATTTTAATTTAATGCATGCAGCCAAAACATCAAATAATTGTTTTGGTTAAAAAATAAAACACAATGGTTTTTACGGATACAGTCTCAAGGTGTCTGTCTGCCTTCCTACTGAAAGTCTGTTTTTATTAGCTACAAAAGGCAATTACATTTTAGCCAAATATACTTTGACATTACATTATTACATAATGCTTTATTTTTATTTACCACACATAACTAACATAACCTAGCTGCTCCTCACCATAATATCCAACTTAGTCCTGTTCTTATTTCTTCTTTACATGCTCTCTACACTCAGTTTATATTGAAGTCTCTTTGTTCAATACTGCCAGGCCTGCCCTCACATTCCTGTTCTCCCTCTCTATAGTATTAAACTGTTTACTGTCCCTTGTTAGATCTTAACCTGGCTTCTCTGCTGGCCTATGATAATGTTGTCTGAAATGCCTTTAATAGATCCACCAACTCCACCTGACTTCAAATTCAAGACCCAGGGCAAGGCCTTGGAGCAGTGAATCATGAAGCTTCTAGCTTCTCCCACAGATTTTATACTTACCTGTTCAAAGGATATCTCTCTCTCTCTCTCTCTCTCTCTCTCTCTCTCTCTCTCTCTCTCT